AAAAAAAAAAAAAAAAAAAAAAAAAAAGCACTGGAAACAGATCAGTGCATTGCATTAGCTAAGATCACAGGGTCTGCAGGGACAAGACTCTAATAATAGGCAAAGGATTTAGAAATTTTTTGTGAGGTTATCATTTCTAAAAAAATTAAGGCTTATACTTAATAACATATGTTTCTAATATTTCTGCCAAAAAGAAAAAGAAATAATGAAACAATTAGAAAACAAATTGAATGAAAGATCTCTTTATGAAAAAGAAAATTAAAATCATATTCTCTTGAATCCAGACATTAAATATCTCAGATTAGGCCATGTGTAATATAAAAAGGGAAATTGAGTGTTTGATTAGAGAAGTAATTACGGAGATGTCTAAAGAAGTAAACAAATGATCCAATCAAGGAATTAAAGGAAACACAAGGGTGTAATCATATAGCAAAGATTTTGGATTAATTTTGCATGTCAAAACCCATGTCTTTTATATACTCCTGTCTTGTATACCCATGTTATTAATGTTGTAGTATTAAGGTAAGTTCTTATTGTATATAGTTTTAATGAATTGTTTGCTCTTATCAGTATCTGGTTTCCTACCTTTCAGACTATTTCACCTGCCTACATAATCCCAGGCCCTGGTTGAGGACTCAGGACACTGAAGCTCTTCATTCCAGCCTATGAGGCTTGCTAGTCAGAACATCCCCAAAGAAACTGCATTTATGAAAGCCAGAATGTTTCTCTTACAGTGAAAACTTTCTGATGCTGTCAGTGTGTGAAACAGCTACTATAGGAGAGCAGAAGAGAGGGAAGTAATAGACCTTCACTTGTGAATCTCCTCTCTTTAGTTACAATCGTCTTGAGTTTTGGGGATAATTTCTCTTATCTGCCGCTGCAAAATCAGAATGTTGCCACGAGCAGCTCTTGAATTTCATTCACTTATTCCTGCATATGGTAGATATGTAGTGAATACTGATTAAAGTTCTGTATTAGGCTGTATGTTTATCAGTTAGTTTCATAGACATGAGTGAGAGACATGTGAAGACATAATCCCTACTCTGAAGATCAAATAGCTTGTTTTAAAAATACCCTCAGATGTATTGGTTTTGCCAGGGCAGCACAGCAGAATGCCATTCCTGGTCATCGGTCCATCATACAGGGAAGAAACAGATACCCAGGGTCCAAATCACTGCTGACATGACGGAGAACACAGAGACCGAGCTAGGGCTCTAACTCAGATCTTTGGCTCATGAGGTAGAAGATGCTCATTAAAGTGCTGGAATGAATTATCATCAGTGAAGCTGTTTGATCTTTATTTGTTTTAAGGTTTTATGTTTGTGTTTATTGTTTGGATGATAAGAAGAGCAGAACTTAGGGACATTAATGTCATGATTAAAACAAGAGTGAAAATTTTACTACTTAATTCTTTTTAATTGCTGCAATATTCAGACTCATGAGATGATATCTTTAATCACAATTTGGTTCGCTTCTTCAAGAGAAATTTATCAATTAGGAAAATTGACACCTTGTGAAAATAGTCTCTGCCTACTAGGAATGTAAAACAGAAGCTTTGGTTTCCATTTATGATTTTAGCTTTAAAATGAAATCTGTTATATAAAGACAAAAAATACTTAGAAACCAAATATAACAAGAATCAAACCATGCTTTGCTTTCTCAAAGACGATGTTAAGAGGTGATGCACAAGTTCAGAAAGTAATTGAAATATTTTATCTAAATAAAAACAAACCAGAAACAGAAGTATATGTGCATTAAAATAATATGTACCGCTGATACACTACCAAATCATTCCCTAAGATAGTTCTATGAAATACGCAGTCTTAAAGCTATATTTCTAATAGGAAAACTCAAGCTTAGAGTTTAAATAATTAGAATGATGTGAAACAGGAAGAAAGTACTCAAGCAAAAATTGAATACAGATGCCTCTAATTCTAATATCCATTCCCAAGTACAAATAAAATTTCCAATACACCTAATAGCCCAGGTCATTGATTAGGAAGCACATCTTCCTCAATGCGGGATATATTTTAGCAGTAAATTCAGCCCTAAATTTATGCTGGTAGTATTTAGATGTGCTTTTCTAACAAATCAATTGAGTAAATGACATTTTAAAGCAAACCGTATGGAGTGTCAGCTTTGCTTCATTTGCCTTGCTATTGAGAAGGTGGAATATTTATCATAAGTTGCTGATTACCTTTGACAGGAGCCAACTATCACCATTCACGATAGAGCAAAACATGTTAAATTTCTGTGCAAACTGATTAGCCCTGGGTGAGTCAAAAGCCGTCTTGAATGGCTTCAAAAAGGGGCGACTCTGCATTTCATAGGCGACTGTGACAAATCTTGCCTAGGAGTCATTTAGGGATGCTTAAAAAGACAAGAAGAAGACAGCAGCAGTAGTGAATTTCTTAATAACTTATAAGTGGCACTTTCAGAAGGAAACATCTACTGTGGTGCCTTGTCTTCCTTTTCCTGTATCAGTTAACCCTAAAAGCGCAAATATAAACAGATTTAATCCCCAATGGGTACATCTGAACCAGAAGAAATCTGGAATTAATTGTGAAGTATTTTGGTTCCTGTTGCAGCTGTTACAAGTGTTTGATTTGGCGAGGGAAGAAAAAAGGCCCTGCATACCAATTTCGTGAGCCACGGTGAAAGCTGCGTGGAGACCATCATCTTCAATCACCGCACAGCTGCGCTCCAGAGAACATATGGTTCCAACGTCTGCCATTCCCAGGGTGTCACATGAATGATGCCCACATAAATCCTGTCCCAGGAGAAAGAAAGAAATCATTAAAATCAATTTCCATCCAGAAGGAGCCACCATGTAGAGCCACTTGCTCACCCCAAATGGCAAAACCAGGATATGTTTATGGTGTCACCTGCTCAGCTCTGGAAACGTTCCAAAGATGAGCTGAAGGCAGCCGCTCTTCTGATCGACTCTGGGACCCAGAGGCGTAGGAGGAAAAAGAATTCAATTACACTTACAAAGATGTGTTAGGATTATAGCTCATTCGCTGCAATCACAGAAGCAGCCTTAATAAAGCTGTAATGTGTATATACATTTCAAGGATAACTTTCACATATGGTCATGCTTAGGAAAGGCCTAATATGCTAAATTTACCAGAAAACTGGTCACAGAAGCACATATTTGTGACAGAATATAAATTTATTGGTAAATTTTTATACCATATTAATAATTACTTAAAAGATAATCTCTTAATTTCTAAACTGAGTTGTAATTTAATAGATTACATCCTCAGAAATTTATGCATTCTTATTTATAGCATCTAATTTTTATCCTCAGCATTAGTTCTTAGAATATGTATGTAAAGAAGGTGTACTCTGTGTGTGCGTGTGAGTGTATGCGTATTTAATAATACATTGCATAGCTTTTAAAAGATTCTCAAAGGGGAAAAGATCAAACCTCACTAATATTTATTTATTTATTTTTATTTTTTTGGTACCGGGATCGAACTCGGGTCCCTGCGCTTGCAAGGCAGATGGCAGAACCACTGAACTAAATCCCCAGCCTGTACCTCACTAATATTTAAAAGTTACTGATTTAGATGAGAGCAACAATAAAGATATTAAAAGTATGAAGCTTAGAAAGAAAATATAAGCCACAATTTTGGATGTTAGATTTACAATGACAAACTTTCCTTTTAAGTGCCATGGAACTACTAAATGGAATTAGAATTTCTTGTGTTTATCATTTTTAAGAAAAATTAATCAATGGCATGTATGTGTATATCATAAAAAAGAAAGGCAGTATTTCTAGAAGTCATAACTCAATATATGCGGTAGAGAAAGGTTTTTATAAAAAATATTAATTATTGTGTAAAATAATAAGTAAATTAGTTTCAGTTATAGCAGCCATCTTTGTATCTGAAATGACCATAATGTCTCTCTTAGGGACCCAACAGACATTTGCTTAACTGAGTCGAATGGTGACACGCGGTGAGGTTCGGTGTAATCCTCATGCCCTTTTAACGTGCTTCATTCTGAAAGGACTTCAGCAGCCCTGGGCAATCAGTGCAGCATAGCATGACTATACAACGAAGGCCACACAGTGCCAAAATGCTTTCCTAACTAGTCCTTATTTCCCCATAAATATCTAACCAATAAGAAGAATATTTGAAAGATATTCCCTCTTCTATTTCCTTTAGAACATGTTTACATCTTTATTGTGTTCTGTATATTACGAGTGTCTACCTGTGGTGAATGACCCTGTGGTCATCATGTTACTGTACTGTCAGAAAGTGGAAGTCTCAGGCTAGTAGCTTTGGTGAATCAAGGCATTAAACCAATAATAGACCTCTTACATTTTCTGTGTGTCTTCATATATCATCCCATGAGCTCCCAAATTATAGCTGTTGAGAACAAATTAGTGGTTTTCAAAACTGAATTTGGAGCCCACTTTTGCATAATAGCCTTTGATATAATAATGCAGGATGATACGTTTTTCAATCTTTCTTCCTTCCCCACCATCATTTTAGGAGCTCTAGGACTGAATACCAGGTCATAGTTTAAATGAGGTGCTAGACACGGAGGGTCACATACACAGCCTTTTAAGCCAAGATTTGTGCTTATCTTCAGAATTTTGGTTTCATTCTCTTCAAATAATAAGATCCCAGAATTAAATTTTCCTTTTTACTTGTGCTTTACCAGTGAGCATGGCTGAAGAGTGACAGCAAAGGAGAACAGCCTTCCGGTTCTGAATACAGTTTCAAGCAGAATCTTAATATCTCTGTTTACTGGGAATCAATTGCTCATTAGCGGCCATCAGCCATCCTTGTCATCTTTGAACTGCATCAAATGCATTGGCCTTTTGCCACGGAAATGTGTGCATGTGACAAATTATGAACAGAAGCACTGGTTATTTTTTTACCACACTAATTAAGCCTCTTGACTATACAGTCACAGTATTATATTTCCACAGCTATAATTATAACCTGGCACCCTTTCCACTTCCTGAACACAATTTTGAAGCTTAACAGAACAATTATTAATGAATATCTGAATATACAATGAATGTCTGAATTTCTTTGTGATTCAATGTTCATCTCAGTGTATGAAAACTAATGTGTGTTTCAAATTACTAGGAATATAGCTCATACTTTTGTCTCTAGTTTCTCAGGGTGATTTAATTTATAACAATACTTACTTAGAGAATTGTTAAAAATTAGAGTAGAGGGTTAAGGGTGCAATTATGACAATACTATTTTTTTTTGGTACCGGGGATTGAACTTGGGTCCTTGAGCTTGCAAGGCAGGCCATCGAACCACTGAGCTAAATCCCTGGCCCTGACGATACTATGTATACAAAAGGTTAATTGGATATAATATCCATGTAAAAGGTAAATAGATTAAAAGTGCTGACAAGTGGATCTGTTTATTCCATGTAGATCTAAAGGTAAATTACATTTTTGTCATATCAAAGGTGACTCTTTTTACACAGGATCATTATCACCATGGTTTGTTTGTTTGTTTTGTTTTGTTTTTTTTTGTACCAGGGATTGAATTTAGGTCCTTGTGCTGGCCAGGCAGGCAGCAGAACCACTGAGCTATATCCCCGGCCCTATCACCATGGTTTGGAGAGGAGTTCAGTGAAATATTTAGTAAAATGTAAGGGCTGTAAAAGTACATGAAAACCTAAGTGTCATCTTGTGGTGTGATTTGGCTGGGGTATAAGATGTAGACATTGTATCTAACTCAAAAATATATCTAAGATGATCCTCAAAACAAAAGATTCGACAGAGAAGTCACTAACATCATGACCATTTACCTGGTGTGTACTCTTAGAAAATGATGAAGATGGCAAAAGTTGTGATTTGTCAGAACTATTAACAGTACCTGAGGCCTCTTTGTGGGTACCGGGAAGAGGCATTATATTGCCATTAAGAAGCAATGCCCAGAGGACTCTGAGGCTTGGAAAATCCCAGTGTTCAGTAGTACTCAAGGGTGAGCAGGAACCAAGCAGGCACGGATACCCAAATGGAACAAAGTGTTGGGAGATTTCCTGCCTTGACTGAAAGGATCTGGCTCCCGTGCAGCACAAATATGCTGAGGGAAGGAGGTAGAAGAAGCACAAGTGCTGATCAGGGCAGATACTGTCATAGCCGCAGCAGTGGTAGCAAAGTCAAGGAACAGCACCTTAGACTGCAGTTGAACAACAATTTCTGTTTCTTGTAATTACTTCCTGTAAGAGCAAGAATGAAATATAGAAATAGGCATAAACAAGGCTTGCCTGTCTTGAGATGTCCAACCCTCTGCTACACAATTTTCACTGAAGATATTGGTGACAGAAGAACTAATAATAGTGCAGTACATATTTTAATCATAAATATTATGCATACTGTGTATACCTACATATATACTCATGCATATTTATTCTATGGGTCTTTTTGTAATTATTTTAACTTTGACTAGTATGCATTAATTGTACATGAGTGGACTCAATGTCATTTCCAAATATCTAGATGATATGCACTGATCAAATTTCACTTCCCATTACCCACCACCCAAATCCAAATGGATCTGATTCTTGAGGTGTCATTTACTTTTCTGGACACTTGTATAGTAATCACCAATACTGGAAGCCTTACTTTGTATTTCAGCAGAGATTATATTGATCGGAAATTGTCAATCATCAAACTACCAATCTCTACTCATATCTCTATTCATATCGCACAATCTCTATTCATATCTCTGGACACAGCTATGTGATAAGAAATATACAGAGCCTGGGCTGGGGTTTAGCTCAGTGGTTCCACCTCCTGCCTTAAAAGTGTAAGGTCCTGAGTTTGATCCCCGGTGCCAAAAAAAATACAGAGCCCAGCTGAATTAGGTATGAAGTTATACTGGTACATTTACTTCGTGCCTACAATCCACAAGCCATTCTCCATCCGTAAGAAGAAACATAATCTAGTAAGCAAAACAGGGCAAGAGGGAAGGAAAAGGTAGGACATTATGAGGCAAAGATTGTTGCAAAGTACAGGAGAATTGGTGAACTTTTCTTCAGGGAATCAACAGAGGTTCTCAAAGGACTGGAGACAGCTTAACTGAAACTGACAGTGTGGGACAAGAGGGATTTTAATGAAGAAGGATTCATGGAAATATGATTATTGGCAAAAAAAGTAAGCTGTGTTTTGGAGCTGACAAGTTTTGGGTGGACTACAAGGGTAAGCTGGGAGGATGATCTGGACTCAGAGTTACTAGGAAGGACACTTTGTCCGATAGATATGAGGACAGAGGATGAGAAAGAAAAGCAAGATGGAGTTGGAGGAGATTGGATACTTGGCAGAATTAATCTTGAGAATGAGAATAAAGCCTTTAGAAAAAGAGAATGGCAGATAGGTTGCTTTTGTAAGTGTATTTCTATTAGGAAGAAGCATTGTAAAAATTATTTAGATAATTTGAGACAAAGTCCCCTCATTATTAACATAAGGCATTTGGACTTGACAAGCTCCAGGGCTAGGTCCAGCTACACAGGTGCTGATATTAACTGGAAACATTCTGGTTTATTCATAGGTGAACAAATTTAAGCTCAGGAGCAGCACATTTTCAGGGTTTTAAGCATCAGCAAAATAAAGCTGAAATTTAAACTTACATCCAGACATTTCAATTCCTGAATTTACTTCACCAGGGTATTGCTAAATAATTACATATGTCATGCTTGACGTTAACCTTATCTTTTGCATTCACAATCTGCTCTTGATCAAACAATTTTCTTTCTTCTTTTTTTGTTACAATAAATGAATACAGC